AATAATGTTTGACAGGACAACTGTTTTAAACAAATGCATGTATGTTGTGTACTAGGTCATTGACATCTTGTTAATAGTCAAAATGGAAACTTATAATACATGTGTAACAGCACAAGTCTTTAGCGTCAGGAAAAGAGCTTCAAACCAACATGTTTGTACCAAGAATATAACCCAAATTCACAATTTGTGTAAATCTAGCTTTTAAAAAACAAAACATTCATAGACCTCTGCTTTGAATATGGGGGTGTCCCCTGAATATCCACATAATTTAAGGTCCTAGGGCCTCATTTATAAACACAAGCGTAAAATTATCTTATGATGTGAACACACAAAAGTTTCTGAAATGTTAATAGGAATGATTTATAAAAAGTCACATGGATGGTCTCAGGATGCTTCACTGTTGGCACAACACAGAACTAACGGTAGCGTTCACCTTTTCTTCTCCGAACAATCGATTTTCCCAGATGTCCCAAACAGTCGGAAGGGAGCTTCATCAGAGAAAATAACTTCGCACCAGTCTTCTGCTGTCCAATCCTTGTACTTCCTGCAGAATTTCAGTCTGTCCTTGACATTTTTCTTGGAGAAAAGAGGCTTCTTTGCTGCCCTTCTTGACACCAGGCCATTGTCCAAAAGTCTTGGCCTCACTGTGCATGCAGATGCTCTCACAGCAACCTGCTGCCGTTCCTGAGCAAGCTCTGCACTGCTGGTGACAGGATTCCTCAGGAGGAAGCGGTCCTGGTGCTTGCTGGACACTCTGGGACGTCCTGAAGACTTCCTCACTGCAGTCGAACCTCTCTCCTTGAAGTTCTTGATGATCCGGTAAATGGTTTTTTCAGGTGCAATATTCTTTGTAGCAATTTCCTTTCATGTGAGGCCATTTTGATGCAAAGCGATGATGGCTGCATGTGTTTTATTGGAGGTAACCATTGCTAACAAGAACACAATGATTGGAAGCGCTTCTTCCCTCATTTTATAGCAATCAGTCTGCTCTTACTATCTAATTAGAATGATAGTGATCTGATCCCTCTACACAATAACCTAGAAATAATGTGAATGAACATCACAACAGCTTAAGCAGCAAATTTTGCAAAACACAAAATTTATGTCATTGCCAAAACTTTTGGCCATGACTGTACAACGAAAAAGAATAGCCTTTTCCTTCATTACAATTTCTTATACTTGCATATCATGACTTAAAAATTTCCTCAATTATTTAAAAATAGCTATCCAAACGTAACTAAGTCAGTAAATCATGTACACAGAAAAACTATCCCTTTCAGACACGTACTTCATGCTCTAGTAAAGTGTTTTTATAAAAACTACTAAAAATCGCTATATTCAAATGCTTGTAAAATCGCCTACTGATAATTTTAGCTGAGAATATTATGGTAACAGGTTTCAGGAAACTGGTTTCAGTTTAACATTTTGCAAAACACAAAATTTATGTCATTGCCAAAACTTTTGGCCATGACTGTACAACGAAAAATAATAGCCTTTTCCTTCATTACAATTTCTTATACTTGCATATCATGATTTAAAAATTTCCTCAATTATTTAAAAATAGCTATCCAAACGTAACTAAGTCAGTAAATCATGTACACAGAAAAACTATCCCTTTCAGACACGTACTTCATGCTCTAGTAAAGTGTTTTTATAAAAACTACTAAAAATCGCTATATTCAAATGCTTGTAAAATCGCCTACTGATAATTTTAGCTGAGAATATTATGGTAACAGGTTTCAGGAAACTGGTTTCAGTTTAACATCTGCTGTGCCCTGGATTCTTACATGGTTAGAACAATGAGAAAATATTATTTTATAATATTTGCCTCAAAAATACAAAAATTAGAACATCTCTACTGTCTCTTGTTTTCAAATGCCAATTTGAAGTTAATAAAAGTGCTCAATCATAATGATAGTGCTCAATTATATGTGGATACTTCCACTCAAGTACTCTTTGGCTAGGTACATATGCCTAATTTTAATTGAGCACAATTTTTGACAATAGTTTATTAATTCATAGATTTTTAGTTAATATACCTTCACTTCCAAGTACAATTGTCAGTACTTTTTACTTCTCAGATTGCATCTTAAAGTGATCTGCATCAGCCTGACACGATATTTTAAAGACAAAGATGGAATGCTTTGTTCTCCAGCATGCAGTTCTGTTGCCATCTGGCCTGCAGGTCAAGTCAAGTGTCATTACGCATTTATTGCTCATTATGAGTAATGGTGCAGTAATGGAGTGGTGCGAAATACCAGTGAACAGATCCAGCTCTTCTTCATCAGGGTGAAGGCCATTAGTGGCGTGATGGACATCGCTCCTGATGTACGAGCCCTCCTCACTGAAGATATCGCACTCATCAGGAGCTGAGGTGGGTGTGATCGGGTTACTCTGCAAAAAGAGATCAACACAATGCCAACATAACAGCTGATAACCATGACAAAATTGCAGTTCGTGCAGTTGCTGAGCTGCATTACGAGACTAACCGCTGCAGACTTAAATGTTTTCCCACATATGACTTAATCAGATAATGCAAACTAGTTATTCATTCTGAAGCAAGTGTCTCACTCTCGCGCCGGTGAATATGTCCTCGCCTTCATCTTCATCATCCTCGTCGCTGTCCAGCACTCGAGTGTCTGATTCTGCCTCCTGATCTTCATCATCAGGGAAAGGCTACTAAAAATCGCTATATTCAAATGCTTGTAAAATCGCCTACTGATAATTTTAGCTGAGAATATTATGGTAACAGGTTTCAGGAAACTGGTTTCAGTTTAACATCTGCTGTGCCCTGGATTCTTACATGGTTAGAACAATGAGAAAATATTATTTTATAATATTTGCCTCAAAAATACAAAAATTAGAACATCTCTACTGTCTCTTGTTTTCAAATGCCAATTTGAAGCTAATAAAAGTGCTCAATCATAATGATAGTGCTCAATTATATGTGGATACTTCCACTCAAGTACTCTTTGGCTAGGTACATATGCCTAATTTTAATTGAGCACAATTTTTGACAATAGTTTATTAATTCATAGATTTTTAGTTAATATACCTTCACTTCCAAGTACAATTGTCAGTACTTTTTACTTCTCAGATTGCATCTTAAAGTGATCTGCATCAGCCTGACACGATATTTTAAAGACAAAGATGGAATGCTTTGTTCTCCAGCATGCAGTTCTGTTGCCATCTGGCCTGCAGGTCAAGTCAAGTGTCATTACGCATTTATTGCTCATTATGAGTAATGGTGCAGTAATGGAGTGGTGCGAAATACCAGTGAACAGATCCAGCTCTTCTTCATCAGGGTGAAGGCCATTAGTGGCGTGATGGACATCGCTCCTGATGTACGAGCCCTCCTCACTGAAGATATCGCACTCATCAGGAGCTGAGGTGGGTGTGATCGGGTTACTCTGCAAAAAGAGATCAACACAATGCCAACATAACAGCTGATAACCATGACAAAATTGCAGTTCGTGCAGATGCTGAGCTGCATTACGAGACTAACCGCTGCAGACTTAAATGTTTTCCCACATATGACTTAATCAGATAATGCAAACTAGTTATTCATTCTGAAGCAAGTGTCTCACTCTCGCGCCGGTGAATATGTCCTCGCCTTCATCATCATCATCCTCGTCGCTGTCCAGCACTCGAGTGTCTGATTCTGCCTCCTGATCTTCATTATCAGGGAAAGGAGGAGGAATCCGTCCGCAGCTGCCTGACATCGCTTCTTTCGGCCAAAGAAATTATATGTAACAACAAACAAACCTAACGGATCAAGTCTTGCGGTTGGCGTAATTTCTAACTGACTGTACGCTACAGGCAAACGTGGATTGAATTGCACTCCTAGGTAACCTCAGCCTACTTAAAATCATCCGCGGACGGCTCAGAAAGAGCGCTGATGCGACACTGCCACCTGATGGTCTGGAGCAAATACTACAGCTACTTCAGCAACTACACAGTGTTGCCAATTTAGCAATTTTGTTGCTAAATTTAGCAACTTTTCAGATTACCCTAGCAACATTTTCATCCAAAAGCACCTAGCAACAAATTAAGCTATTTGTAAATTTTATTTGGCTACTTTTAGCAAGTTTTGATAAGTTACTCAAACAATAAAAAGGCACACGTTTTCCATCTAAATTTCACAAAAAGAGGAAACCAAAGCAGTAGCTAGCAGTACACACATCACGTGAATTAAGTTATTGCTGTTTGCAGTTGTTCAATTTGATAATAATAACAATTTAATAATTGTTCATTTATGATACACCTTGTTAGTAGCTTGTACCTGCGATTGTTGATCAGTTAGTACACTGTAAGAAAAATATCTAGTAAAATGGAAAAGGTACTAGTATTTTTCCAGGACATTATCTGTTATCCATTATCCATTGTAACCCGAAAACACAAAATACAATGCATAATTTAAAATGTAGGTAAAAACCTGACTACTAATACACTGCTTAAAACTATAATTGTTCAGAATGTGTAGTTTTACTAGTTTACTAGCTAATAAAACAACAACAACTTGTAATCGTTCAAAAATGTGTAAGTGTTCAATAATTAAATGTTGTATATAAAAATACTTATTTTTATTTTAACATTATGCATTTATATTATTTTACAAACAAATGTAAATTAACAAAAAACATTTTTTTTTGCTGAGATTTGATGATGTGACAATTTCAACCAGTTCAATCCATAGACTGTATAAAAACAGGTTCAATCGCATCAGACTTCGTACTTTGCTTGAATTCAATCAATACAAAAGAAAAACACAACACCACCGCATATTTGCAAGTATCCCGTTTAATAAAATTAATTTTAATAATTTCAATCTCATAATTTAAGATTTGTTTGAAAACAATTTAACTAGTGTACTAGTGACTCATGATCTTCAAAAATATACAGTACATATATATATGCTTATACATTTCTATGAAAGTCAAAAAAATTTGCATTTGTTCAGTTAGTGTTTCTGCTGGTGTCAGAATTGGATAACTCTAAACTCAGTGAGCAGAGCAACGAGGAGAAAGACAATGTAGAAGATCAGTAGAAAAATGCCATAGACTCGGCTCAGGTGAAAACACTGAAGAGGAACCAGTATGAAGGAGAGGATGAGAGACAGACCCAGTGCTCCTGAGAGAACCCAGCACAGCATCCCCTCTGGTTCCAGCTGACCACACAACAGAACACACAGATCAGACTCCATCACTCATCTAAATTGGATAATTCAACAGACTAAAAGCTTGCAACATGTTCTCAGGTAAACACTAAAAGACTATACAGTATATAGTATCCACTTGCATGTATATATGCTCTTTTCTAAGAAAGTTGAGACGTATATAATATACAGAGCGTGAGACATACCATCACAACATTATTAGTCTGAAAGATTTGCAGTAGGCAGCCCAGACCCACACCAAACAGCATGTCTTAATGCAATGTTAAAGGCATCTCTATGTGATTATGGTTTATATACAAGGATATTTACAGTACTGTAAATAAATAGTATGATTAAATCTGTTGATATATTTATTAAAGCGCATATGTTAAAAGATACTAAAGATAATGCCTCCGAAACAGGCAGAAATGGCCATCCGTGGGTATCCCTGACGGGCTATAGTAATGTCTGCAAAGCAATCTGTGAAAACACACAAATATAACACATGGTCTAACAGAGGTAAAAACATAATGATGTATAATAGCCCACTGGTGTATGATTCTTTAAAATATTAAAAGCCATCTGG